CTACACACGTGTATTTCACTTGTGGAAGTCTATTGATTTGGACATTGCCTGGGCAAGAGATTATCGCTTATATCAATTTTTTTTTCGCTAGGAAGTTCTTGCGCGTTTAGTTATGTGCCATACTCGCGGTTTTGGTGTCGTGATCTTTAACTATAATTACTGAACGTTTTAATGATGCTAGATTTGGCCCATTCTCAAATATATACACGTGCATTTTACTTGTGGAAGTCTGTCGCTTTGGACAATGCCTGGGTTAAAGATTCTTGCCCATTTATATCTTTTTTTTACTCGCATGTTTCCTCGAATTAGTTTAGAGTCCCTTGGACTCTGAAATATCGCCCAAGTTCCTGGAAATCGACTCAAAGTAGGTCAATATCATGCTGCGCGCAGCCCGGTCTCGGCGACTTTCTAGAAACTAAGTGGCTATATTTCGGTCAGACTGCTCATAACGAAGCGTTCAAAAATATTTCCTCTGTCCATTTCACTAAAAAATCAAAGTCTTTTCGAGTTAGTTTAGAGTCCCTGGGACTTGGAAATATTGCCCAAGTTTCTGGACATCGGCCTAAAATTGGTCAAAATCACGCTGCGCGTAGCCCAGTCTCAGCGAGTTTCTAGTCACTAAGTGAGTTAAGGAGGGGATATATTACGGCCAGACTTCTCATAACCAAGCGTCCAAAGATTTTTCTTCTGTCCCTTTTACTGAAAACCAAAGTCTTTCGAATTAGTTTATAGTCCCTGGGACTCGGAAATATCGCACAAGTTCCTGGAAATCGATTCGAAGTAGGTCAAAATCACGCTTCGCATAGCCCGGTCTCGGCGACTTTCTAGTCACAAAGTGGCTATATTTCGGCCAGACTTCTCAAAACCAAGCGTTAAAAAGTTTTTCCTCTATCCTTTTCACTAAAAATCAAAGTCTTCGCGAATTAGTTTAGAGTCCCTGGGACACGGAAAAACCGCCCAAGTTCCTGGAAATTCACCCAGAGTTGGTCAAAATCGTGCTCCACGTAGCCTGGTCTCGGCGACTTGAAGCACTCTCCAAATCGACAGACTTTCACAAATGAAATACACGTGTGTACATTTCGGGCAGAGCTAAAAGTAGCATCTTTAAAAGGTTAGGTAAGCATTGATTGGGATCCCCGAACCTAAAACGCGCGTGTGGCGCATCTCTAAACGCGCGACAACTTACGAAAGAAAAAAAAGTGTATATGGGCGAGAATCTTAAACCAAAAGGTGTGGAAATCGATAGTTTTCGACAAATGAAGTACACGTGTGTAGATTTGAAGCAGGGCTAAAAGTAGCATCTTTAAAAGGTTAGGTAAGCATTCGTTAGGATCCCCGCACCTAAAACACGAGTGTGGCGCATCTCTAAACGCGCAAGAACTTCCGAGAAAAACGAAAGTTGATATGGGCGAGAATCTCTGACCCAAGCACTGTCCAAATCGAAAGACTTCCACAACTGAAATACAAATGTGTAGATTTGGGGGAGGGCTAAAAGTAGAATCTTTAAAAAGTAAGGTAAGCATTGGTTCGGATCCCTGCACCTAAAAGATAAGAAAATTGATAGTGGCGAGAATTTCTCACCCAGAGCACTGTCCAATTCGATAGCCTTCCACAAGTTAAACGCACGTGTGTAGATCTGGGGGAGGGCTAAAAGCAGCATCTTTAAAAGGTTAGGTAACTATTAGTTGGAATCTCTGCACATGAAATGCAAGTGTGGCGCATCTCTAAACGAGCGAGAACTTACGAGAGAAAAGAAAGTTGATATGGGGAAAAATGGCCAACCAAAGCACTGTCCAAATCCACAGACTTCCACAAGTAAAATACACGTACGTAGATTTGGGGGACGGCTAAAAGTAAAATCTTTAAAAAGTTAGGTAAGCATTGGTTGGGATCCCTGCACCTAAAACGCGAGTGTGGCGCATATCTAAACGCGCGAGAACTTACGAGAGAAAAGAAAGTTGATATGGGTAAGTATGTCCAATCCAAGCATTGTCCAAATTGATAGACTTCCACAAGTGACATACACGTGTGTAGATTTGGGGAAGGGAAAAATTTGCATCGTTAAAAAGTTAGGTAAGCATTGGTTGCGATCCCTGCACCTAAAACGCGAGTGTGCGCATCTCTAAACGCACGAGAACTTACGAGAGCAAAAAAAGTTGAATGAGCAAGAATGTCCAACGCAAAGACTGTCCAAATCGATAGACATCTACAAGTGAATCACAAGTGTGTAGATTTAGGGGAGGGCTAAAATTAGCATTTTAAAAACGTTAGGAAAGCATTAATTTGGATCCTCGCACTTAAAATGTGAGGGTGGCGCTTCTCTAAACGCGCGAGAACTTTCGAGAGAAAAGAAAGTTCGTATGGGCAAGAATCTTAAACCAAACAGTGTGCAAATCGATAGTTTTCCACAAGTGAAATACACGTTTGTAGATTTGGGGGGGGGGGGGGGGGGG